GCGCTTTAGGGATGCGTCACCCTCCTTCATGAGGCTACATCGACCAGGAAATTGGTCCTGCCGACGAAGGTTCTCCTACTCTAATCTTCTATCTACTCTCATCTCACCGCCTATCTTTGCCCCTACACATTCGTTATCCCTGTCCCTCTCTCCCTCCCCTTCCCCACCTCCTCTATCCCTCTTCAAAAAATTCCCTTTCCCCCCCCCTCGTCCCCATTATTATTATCTTTCTCTCGTCTGCTTTCTTTGCTATGGCAATGAGTACTACCAATCGTTTTGTGACAAAAAAAAATATAGAAAGAGTTGATCAGTCTAATATTGATTGACATTGGTATTTTAAGGAGACCCAGGCGGCGCTATTGATGAATCTAATGCTAGTATGTGTCTTTGAGTGATAACGTTAGGTGTTGTTCCTGCTTGAGGCAAGTTGTTTGATTGCGAATTTGCGATGCAATTTCTTTTGAAAAACACACACACACATACACACACACACACACACATACATTCACACACACACACATTCACACGCACACACATTCACACACCCACCCACTGGGGGGAGGGGGGGGAGGGGCGGCAACCAATCAATCAATCAATCAATCATCCAATCAATCAATCATCCAATCAATCAATCAATCAATCAATCAATCAATCAATCAATCAATCAATCATCAATCAATTAGTCCATAAATCAATCAATCAAATTGAATCAATCAATCAATCATCAATCAATCAATCAATCAATCAATCAATCAATTTTTAATTTTTCCCTACCCCCCCCACCCCCCGGGCCCCAGCCCCCGAACAAACTTTTTTCTTGTTTTTTTTTTTTGTTTGGGGAGGGGGGTAGCCCTCGACATGCACACCCTCCAACCCCCTTAGATATCATTTCCCACCCTTGGAAGGTCTCGAAAACGGGTCGTACGGTCGTACGTACAGCCCGTTTGACTGCCTGGGGACTCGTATGTACGGTCGTAGGGCCGTTCATACTCCTCGTGTCTGTACCGGGGGACACACAAGTCTGAGCCAATCACCTGATCTCAAATGAAGTTTAGATTGGCTCAGTCAAGAATGCCGAGTGGTATCCCAATAGAAAAAATAAATATCGTCTGATTTCAGAACGCATGGCCCACAACTTCACTAGTTGTGGACTCCCCATTGAAAAAGATGTCGCTGAAGTCAACGTCCGACTCGTAATTCGACCAACCGCTGCCTTGTAAAAAAGGCAGCCCGCACTCTTCCCAACAAGCCTGGACAAATTGCAAGACAATTAAGTTCAATAACCGAACTTAGATGGGATAACCCTCGAGGAGGGCGATCCCCACATGAGCCCCGCGTGGTGCAGATTCTGTGGAGGCCAACCCAACGGCGCCGCAGGTTCCCGGACTGTCCCAAGTCCACTAGGCTCTAACAGTCTTAAACTACACTCCACAAAAGAACATGCGAGTCGTTGTGTGTCGCGAACCAAAAAATACCCTACGCCTCACAGTTTAGAGACCGAAGTCAGTTCCAATTGGTCCTAAAATGGTCTCAGGTAATCTCACATTAACGCCCACAGAACCAGAGGGTCCCCAAACACCAATACCACTCGCACCACGTGCCGCAAAAAAAAAAAACTTTAAAAAGGTGGCCCTAAGTGAAAACCGCATGTGTCCCAAGCCCAACGACTTCTCCATCGCACACGCTGTGATTTCCGACAACCTCCACATGGAACACGTGTGCTCCAACCAGTCAATCAATAAATCGATCAATCAATCAATCAATCAATCAATCAATCAACCAATCAACCAATCAATCAATCAAGCAGTTTTTCTTTGGTTTTAATTCTATTCCCAACAGTTTTTTATTGGTTTTATTCCCTCCCTCCCCTCCAAATGACTAAAAAAAGAAGTTTGATTCAGGGTTGTCAACCCCCGGCCGGGGGTGGGCACTCCGAACCCCSMCTTTKSWTYCCCCCCCCCCCCCCCYCCCCCAACAAAGAAAAAAACTTAAAAAAAAAATAAAAATATTGGGGTGTGTGCGGCAACACTCTGCACCCCATGGCCCCACCCTGCAAAAATGCATTTTAACCGCACCTTAAGGGTCCCACGAGGCCACATTCACCACTGCGGAGACCGGGGTGGCCTTGGGTCCGGGGCTGGGGGCGGGGCTGACAGGGGGCCAGGGCGGGGATGGCTGGTGGCGGGGACGGGGATGGTTGGTGGCGGGGGTGGGGGTCAGGGATCCCTGCTTCGGGGGTCTAAGGTTCAAACACCCACCGCGGCTCCGCCCCCAGGGATCTCTGCCTGACGAAACAGGTTTGATTTACCCTAGGGGCAGGGCAGGGGTTGTAAAACCCTGAACGCGGGGCCAGGGGAGCGGAAGCCGGGCGGGGGTACAGCGGTCGGGGCAGAGGCAGGTGTGAAGGGGCAGGGGCGGGGTTAAGGGATCCTTGCGCCGGAGGTCCAAGTTTGAAACACCCACCCTGGCTCAGCGCCCGGGGATCCCCGCCTGAAAAAACTGGTTTGATTTACCCTAGGGGCAGGGCAAGGGTTGTGAAACCCTGATCTTCAACCCCCACCTCCACCGGCCCCCCACCGGCCGCAATGTGACCACAAAGACAGTGACCAGCCCGGTCATGACCCGGCGGCCGGCAACTGCCGTCGTGCCTGCTGCGGTCAGTGGTCCGGGGGATCACTGTCTATCTATACCTTACTTAACCCAGTTTGGATTGCTCGCAACTGTAACCAGGCTGAGCATGCTGATGACACCTCTAAAACAAAAGACAACTTGGAATGGGGTCGTACTGCTTATGCTAAGGCGTAAATCTTCCGCACCATAGGGCCTCGTTCGACACCACTAGAAAACTCTTACTTTGTAAGGGCGCCCTTACGACGAAAATGTGATTAGTTTTCCCTTACTCCCTTTTTCGTTCCACAACCACTTACGAAAACCCTACACTTTATCGCACTTACATTTCAGGTGCCCCCGTTCGCGCCTTGCGCGGCCGAGAATTGAATGCGAGTGTCCGACCCAGTGTTGTGGCGGACAAAATCGTGTCCGCCTGCCTTGGGCCCATGGGAAACCCAGGCCTGCCATTTCCCCAATGCGGGCGTGGGCCTATCGCCGGCGCGCAGCGTCATTAAGCCGTGGAGGTTTAAGCGCGTGAGGACCTCGAACATTCGAATTCAAATTCCGCGCCCGCCAGTTCCCTTCGCGGTCATTGCTTTGTGGACTCCCCTCCGTCGCGTTTCCCGTAGTGTACGCGTCATCCACCGTTGAGCGTGCGCACGTGGCTTCGCGTGTCGCTGTCGTGTGCGTTTTGTGCGCAGCGTGGTCTAGCTATGGACAACAGTGGGTGCGATCCACAGGCGACGAGGAGGTTGTCAACCAGTGAGAAGAGCATGGTCGCCAGTGCTGTCCTCGCTGTGTGCCGGTACATGGAGACGGTGAACGGGTTGCGGCATGCGGGTGGGAGGGGGAGGGGGAGGAGGGAGGCCGCCATAGCCCAGGCGTTGGCAGACGTCTGTACATCGTCCGGTCTATCAGATGCTCCTTTCCTGTTGTCCAACGCAATTGTTGCTGGTGTTCTGCCCAGGGACACACCGCGGTGGTGGATGAAAAGACGAACGGGCGGGACGTGGCGAGACTTGGACATTGTGGACGACGCGACGGATGCATATTTCCATGACAAGCTTCGAATGTCGAGGGCCATATTCGGGGACATTTTTGCGGCTTGCAGTCCATTCATCGACCGTAGACTGACGCACTACCGCGAGCCCTTGCAGACATACCTTATCATCGCCTTCGCGTTATACCGGTGGGCCACCGGGGAGACGTTTGAGAACACTTCGTCGAGCTTTGGCATCGGCAGGTCGTCCGGGGTGACGGTCGTCACGGACGTCGCCAATGCAATACTGGCTACATATCCAGATAAAGTCGCCATGCCGTCCGGCCGTCGGTTGCTGCAGGTGACCAGAGCATTCGGAGCGAAGGGCTTCCCTAATTGTTTCAGCGCAATCGACTGCACGCACATGTACGTGGACAAGCCCGCCAACGCACCGTCGGAGAACTACTTCGATCAAAAACAACAGTTCTCGGTCGTCGCCCAAGTTGTCGTCGACCTCGACATGAGAATTCTCGATGTGTTCATGGGATACCCTGGGAGCGTCCACGACCAGCGGGTTCTGAGAAATTCTTCACTCTTTCGACGTGCGGAGGCGGGCGAGCTCTTCGTCGCGGAACTTGTTCTGCTGCCAGGGGGGGTGTCCACAACAGGGTACCTGCTTGGGGACAACGGCTACTCGCCGAGAACGTGGATGGTGATCCCCTACGGGGGGACAGACCAAGCAGGGGACATCGGATTGTTTGACACGCGGCAGAAGACGACGAGAGGAGTCGTGGAGAGGGCTTTCGGGCGTTTGAAGGGGATGTGGAGGTTGTTTCTCCGCCATCACAAGACTAACATGGATAGTCTGCCTCAGCAATTTCTGGCTGTTTGTATCATCCACAACTTGTTGCTTGAGGCGGGCATACCATTCGACGACTCGGTCCTCCTCGAGCCGGACGAGAACGGCAATCTGGTTCGTGTCGATCTGGGGTTGCAAGATCCGCCACGACCAGTGTCGCAATCGGGCGCAACCGACGCTGCCCTGGCTTTACGTGACGGGTTACGTGTGCGAATGATGAACTGAATCTTTGGGTGTGCGGCCGACGGTCATGTTCAATGTCTATGGGTGTGTCGATTACAGGGTTTACTGCTTTAGACGGCGCCATTCAATCCTTCTCCACTTGGAGAAGCAATCAATCTTGCTTGCCTTTTTTTGGTTTAGTGTGGCGTGTGTGGTCGTCGGCGGGGGGAATGGGCCGATTGTGCATTGCTAAATTAGCGTGTTTATGTGATGACAGTTCGTTGATTTTATTTCCCGCGTTCATGTTCTAGTTTATTATATAAGTGAACATTTTGTGTCTTCCTTTCACAAACTCATAATCTTGTTCAAGTCCTATTGATATTCCGCGTGGACGGTAAATGTATTTCATTCTGCGTGTTTTTTTCCCAAAAGATAACAAGTGTGTGTGTTTATTTGCTTTCTCAGTTTTACAATCGTTCATGGGTGAGGCGAAGCAGACAACAAAAGTTTGTTGCACATGAGCTTTGTATGTGTTCGGCACAGTACAGAACCCGAATGTAATCGACATCCGCACACCCACTAGCAACAAAAAATAGCCACGCAAAAGCACATACTCTCTTCACAATCTGAAATCCACACTTCGTAGGAAAAAAGAGGGCAAAAGACACAAAGCAACCAACACAATTGAACCCTGAAAGTGCATGCGAACTTAAAAAAACGTGATGAACAACTCCACCACCACCTCACAAACCCTAAATGCGCCACGCGCATGTGTTACCGCCTCCCCCACCATGTCAGTTCCAATGTGAGCCATGCTTGTGCCGCATGCCAACAGAAGTACACGGGGAAACTTCTCTCCACAACATTCGACGAACAGGGACACGCAGTCGTTGTCGATCGTAAACGAAGAAGATGAGCCAAACAAAAAACATAAGGACGTCATCCATAAGGAACATGATTTCTCTCTCTCTCTCTCTCTCTCTCTCTCTCTCTCTCTCTCTCTCTCTCTCTCTCTCTCTCTCTCTCTCTCTCTCTCTCTCTCTCTCTCCGCGTCTGTCTCTCTCTCCCTCTCTCTCTCTCTCAAGTGCAAGCGGCGAACGGTTTGCCGCCATGGCTTCCATCCACACCTACTCATCGATGTTGCGGATCTCGCCACGGAGACCTGGGCGGTCGTGCAAAGGAGGATCCGGCCAGACCCGGAAATCCGCAGGAACAGTCATGCAGTCATCGTGCTCGTTCGCGATGTTTGACATCAGGAGGTCGACGATGTCAGCGAGAACGTCTACTCCTCCTTCCCACCGGTCGGGGATCGCGCGACCGACTTTCGTTGCATAGCCAGCCACCTCGCGCAGCATGTCATCCGCATATCCCAACGTGACGACGACGTTGAGAATCGTGTCACCGTTCGCGTCCACCTCGTAATGCCGCACTTCCTGTCCACTGACCTCGCCCACAAAATCAAACAACCTGCCGTCCTTCTCTCCTCGACGATGCCTCATCTCGTAAAAAGTTATGGTACAACCGAGGACACGACCTCTGAGCGCCACCTGGATGTCCATTGATGCGCAGCGCCGCACCCCCACACAGCTGCGATGTCCGATCTCGACTTCCGTAACGACAAACCCCTCGATGACCGCCACGTACGATTTCACTATTGCCACTATGTTCCGCTTTGAACACGAGTGCGCAATTCACCATCCTCCGTCCCCCGTATCCGCTTCCCCACCACCAGCCTCGGCGCACATATGACCACGCACTTTCGGCACGTCAGCTCCCACGACCGATCTCTCACGTTGGTGTTGGAAACACGATGCCATGACCTTTATTAAGTTTCGCTGGCATCGTTGTGCGCCCTGAGTTAAACGCCGAGATGAACGGCGTCATTTCGGCGCAGGGGCCATATCCTATCAACCTCTCCCTCCCCCATACCAACCCCTCCCCCATACCGACCCCTCCGCCCCTCCCTCCAAACAACCCGCCCCATCGGTGATGCGACACACGAAGCTAACACCATGGATGGGATGCTTATCCCTACCCCTCTTGGACTTCATCCAACCTTAAGACCACGGGTTGCGACCACCCGCGCCAACTGCAAACGAACGGTCGATGAGAGCAGAAAAAAAAAAAAAAAAAAAAAATCTTTGAAATATAGAGACAGAAAATGTTCAACAAACAATCATGTGAAATGACCCTACACAAGCTGACGGACAGGTTCAAAAGCCAGTGGTCGGCATCGTTGCGAATCGTGAACGACAACGTCATGAAAAAGGCAGCAAAAAAAAATGAAAAATGAAAAAAAGAATGGAGGGGCGTAAACTATCCTTGAAATGACACCCCGCGCACCGCCCGTGCAAGCGCACCCGCCTGGGTGTTGGGGTTTGCTGTCCCGTCACAACCTCGCAATCAATCCCTGGCCAATGCCGATGCGATCTTAAGCAGAGCATCGCACAGCATCCGTTGCCCGACCTCGAGAACTTCGCATTGCCTCTCCTGCGTTCTCACCTCCCTCTCCATTATGTCGCACTCTCGTTGGAGCACGTCGCACTGCCGCTTGCTCGCGCGGTCTACGGACTCCACGACAACGGTCGAGTGCGTTTTCATCACATCCGTCACCGCCTCGAAAGCCAGTTGCCTGGCGTTCTTCCACTTGCCTTGAATGCCGTTTGAAGACGACCTGCTGCCACACCCGTCCCCCGTATCCACTCCCCTGTTCTCGCTCGCCGAAGTGTCTGCTTCCCCACCACCCGCTGCCGCTTGGCTTTGCTCACCTAGTTGTGACAGTTGTCCTTGTGTGTTGCCGGTGTCCACGAGATTCGACGGGTGGACGGCCTGGTTGTTCCCCTGCATGATGTGGATCGCGTCGTATAGAGTGCGGTCTAGATTAAACCTGTACCCTTTCTCCTTCCGTGCTTTCGTTGTCATGAGGAAGTACGATTGCAGTCCCGAATCCTTCTCCCTGTCCCACACTTTCCTGTATCACCCCAATATGTTCACCCATCTCTTCATGCATTGCTCCCCGTCTCGCCGAACTCCTTCCTTCTCCATCCGCTTGGCGATGTCCATCCACTTCTGGTCCTTCGTTTTCATTCTGGCGAAATTGGTTCCCGCATTAGCAAAGTAGTCGTCTTGGTCTCTCTTGCACTAGACAAGAACGAGGGATTCGTTCAAACTCCAGTTCCCCCGCGCTCTGCTCCCGCCACCCTCGCCGTTCGTATCACCTTCCTTATCCTTACCCTTCGCTTTCCCACAGACTTTGGAAGGTTGCTTTTTCGTCCCGCCGGAGACTGCTTCCTCGACCGGAGCTTCGTCTTCGTCTTCCTCGTCACCGTCATCGTCTTCTACGTCGACGCGGTCCGCCTCGCTGGCACCACCGTCACGGCCTCCCACATCACCGTCGGTGGTCGGCCTCGAGCTATTGTAGCGGCAGACAATACGCTCTGTGCATCGAGGTGATTCCGCGACCCCGCCCAGATCAGGCCTCCGTTCCTGCATGAACGCGCCTGCTCCTCACCTTCGCTGGTCACCCGCAAGCTGTTGAACCGGCAGACGATACGCTCCACGCATCGAGGTGATTCCGCAACACCGCCCACATCAGCCCTCTGATCCTGCATGGCAGAGCCTGCCGCAGGTTGGTGATACGACACGCTGCCCGCTGGTGCGGCCTGGCTAGGCGCAGGCCTTGACATGTGGTTCGGCCGATGCATTGACACCCCGTCGTCAAGGACACTGGCATGCATTGTCTGCGTGCTCGCACCGCCACCCTGTCCACTCCGTTGGACGAGGACCGTTCTACACACGTCCATGGTGGCCGTCGGTGACAGTTGCAAATCGAATGGATGACGGCCTCGCCCAGCAAAGCGGACATCGGACCCACACCCCCTCCGGTGCTTTCAACTCTCGGTGGTGTGTCGTAAGACGTCTGTGTCAACCCCCATGCCAGACCCAATGTCGACGGAGGGGGCGTCCACGTCGTGTCATCAGGCAAAGGCTGCTGGTGAGGAGGGAGATGCGAATACAAATTTGGATCAAACCTGTGGGGGAGATTGTGTTGCATTCCACTCCCTCCTCCGTACCCCCCCCTCCCCATCCCAAAAGCCTCACAACCCCGAGTGTATTCGTCCCCCATCCCTTTGCTCCCCGATGCGCCCTGTCGACGCGTCTTCAACCCCTTCCTCCTTCCACGCCGGATGCGAGCACCGGCCAGGTGGCACGCGTGCAGAGCTATGAGCAACACCACCACCCCAATCAGGATAATTAGCAGAGCTAGCTTCCTCACCATGTCAGCCATGCGCGCCTGCAGCTAAACACGACACACAGATCTGCTACCTTTCGATGACGACAAAGCGCGAAAGCAGAGGAGTGCAATATAGCGGCTCGCGGAAAACGCCCGGCAGGCGACGGGCAGCGCATACCACCCAATTCGAAACAGATGCCGCCAACGGCACGCACGCGCCCCCCTCCGCGGGGACCCCCGCAACGGTCGTCTCCACACGCAAGCCGAAACGGCTAGCCGGAGGTACCGCATGGCCACAGCGGGGCCACGGCGCTGCCCGTTGGAGACTACCGTGGAACCGCTGTCCCATGGTGTACTGGACAACCCAGCGTTTGGACCAGGAACGCGAAGGAAACACCTGAGGAAAAAAGAAAACAAAAATGTCGGCGGTTTTCCCTTGGAAAGTAAGGGCGCCACCCCTACTTTCAAGTCACCTCCACGGCCGTTCTTGGGTTTGTGTCCGTTTTGGCTGGGGAGCCCTCATTTTTGTAGGGCTCGCCCTTACGCCCGCGAATGTGAAAACAAATTTCGCATCTTTTTTTTCGTCATTAGGGAGAGGTGGAACGATGAAACCCTTACATGTAAGGGTTTTCTAGTGGTGTCGAACGAGGCCCATAGACACACATGCTCTTGATCTCTTTGCTTCGGATCATCAGCACATCTTCCTCCTTTTCTTTTCCAGTACTTGGTCTCCCCATGCTCACAACATGGATGCTCTCTTTCTAGAGTGGAACCTCATTCCCGCATCTCCATACAGATGGCTTTTCCCTCCGGCCCCTCTTCTTAATGCAGTGATCTCTCGAGGCCACGTGTGAACTATGGCCTGCGAGAAGTCTTAGCGTGAAAAGACGCGAGGCCACGTGTGAACTATGGCCTGTGAGAAGTCTTAGCGTGAAAAGACGCGGAACCTTTCCACGGAAAGAACAGGAGTCGCCCATCGGTGTGACCCTTCGTCCCCCAAACACAAGGCACCCCATCATGCCTATGCCGGACCGGAACGACAGCTTTTATAGTGCATTCACGATCATGGTGAATTGTGTGCCCTCGACTGAATGGACGTGTGCATGTGACACAGTCGCCCTGGCCACGAATGTGAAAAAGACAAAAATCTAGAGAGTGCATTTGGCCATGTTCTAGCCGGAAGTTCATTCTCATTTTGCAAATTTTGGGAGTGCTGTGGCGCCGTTGTGTGTCCTTTTGCCTTTTCTCCCCGCTTTCTTCTGGGCCGCTATGCTCCGTCCAAACGAAAACGAAACGAATGCATCTGCTCATGAAAGGTGGCAAGAAAAGATGCCCTCGTTGCTATTTATAGCAGACTGATGAACCTGTCCATTTTCTGCTGGAAAATGCTATGCTTGTTTCGTTTTTCGTTTCGTGTGCCGTGCGGCGACGCCCGGTGTGTACTGAACTGCAAAGCTCGCAACCTGAGGACTAGTGATCTTCCACGCGGACCTGATCGTCACAGTTGCACCTTCCGAGTTCGTACCACAGCATACTCACAGTGGCGCTTTCCTGAATGCATGTGACCAAAATTACGGCCGGGCCTGGATGAATCTGACTGCAATTGCGTCCTGAGKAGAGAAAATCCTGGTGTAAGTATGCCCTCAGTCATTCCCAGAACACAAGTATTAGTAAAAGATGAAGCGTTGGGGTCCCTTGACGGAATTATGTGCGAAAAGTCAAAAGACATTGAAAATTGGAATCGAAAACCGCTGATTTCTACGCAAGTAAATGTCGCGGCTAAGGTTGACGCTTAGGTTGGGTTAAGGGAATGACCAAACTGAGGCTTCTTAAACTTATCTCTGGACGTAACTACAGCCAGGTGCATGCAGGCTTGGCCTTCACAGCGGTCAGATGAATTTTTGAGCGTGGTAGAGTGACGCCGAGGGTCAATCAATAGAATCGAAGTAGCAGTGTGTAGCACACAATAACCCCTTCCTTTTTTTTTCCCGTTCCACAGACCAGCCCCCCAAAGTAACGGCTACATTCTCCACTCTAACCCCTCCGTGGTGAACGTCAAACTCTGCAGATCTCATGGTAGTCTCGTCACAGCACCCACCATGCTATCCCCTCATCCAGCCAGGCAACAGTCAACACCCCCCCCCAAAAGAAAACTCCACTCGGGGTCTTTATAGCCGTATTTAGACTGGATGTCGCCCGCAGTGCACTACAATGACCGGTTGTTCTATTCGAGTGAAGACGGAAGGCTCTGACTCTGCCGACTCGTTAACCGCAGAGTTATTACAGTCAGGGTTACATTGACAGTCGCAATCAGTAGAGGACATAATAGAGTGGATGTGGATATAACAACTCGCAGCAGTACTTTCTAGTCACAGCGGCAGTTCCGTGAAATTCAATGCATTTGACTGTAATTGTGGCCGGATTACTCAATCAGTACTCGAAGTAGGACCTTGCTTGGCCGACTGTGGACATGATCTCGGTGAGATGCGTAAGGGAAGTCCGAGTGCCATCATGCCTTCACTGAGAGGGCGCATCTCATCATGATCACTTTCGATTTTCACCTGCGCTCCCTCCAATCATGGGGGTAGACTGTCATAAAAGCACGGTACGCCACGCTTACCGCAGCTCGATCCACACATCTCGTACTCTGTGCGTGATGGCATCCCAAGTAACACTCGTCTTCGCAAAGTAGTCCATTCGCAGTTACTGCGTCTCTGTTGATGGTTGTGTTGAAAAGCTCATTACTACCGTGCTCTCCGTGCATACAAAGAGGTATAGGGCTCATTACAAACTACGTCCTGTAAACAGCTCGGTAAACCTTGGGTTGCACCTCGACACAGGCTGCGAGGCGTCCTCCTCAGCGTTTAACTGTGCGTACCCTACAGGATGATGCAAGTAAGGCGCAGTACTGACCACTCGACCTGCATGATGGTGACATTGCTGACATGTGCAATCATTTTGCACTCTGCGCCTCTGCTGCCACCCTCGTTTCTCGTATTACCATGTGCATGCGCGCAGTCCGAGACATCGTCAACAACGAGCAGCGACGGAGGTTCCACCACGATGACCGCGTCAGGGGTGGGTTCTGCAGAAGGCGGCTCATCTTCTTCGTCCGCCACTGCAGGCCAGGCGTCAAGCGGTGGAGATGCTGGCAGCGGCAGTCTCGCCGGTGGTGGTGCTGGTGGCAGTGATGGGGTCGGTACTACGGCTGCGGGAAGCTCGGTCGGGATGTCAGCCGCAACGGGAGATGGGGGCGCGAGCACCACCTCGACGACGACAGGAGCAGGGGCTGCAGCGAATCCTGGACAGTCCACGGGAGGGGCGGCAGGGTCGGACCTGTCATCTGGGTCTTCCTCTCAAGTAGGAGTAGGAGGAGGGAGTGGGGGGTTGCCAGCTTCTAGCGGCACAGCTGGAGTTTCTCTTCCTGGCTCGAACGAAGGGTCGATCGGCAATGGTCAGGCCTCAGCTGATCAACCTAGCACGTTCACGGCAGTCGGGGCCGCAAGTGACAAAGGAGCAGGGCCATCACCTCAGACTACAACCAGTACGGCCGCAGGTGAGCAGCCTCAGACGGGGGCTACCATCGACTCCACTGTTGCATCTTCGAATCCAGTTCCCTCGACGACTACGACCAGGTCATCCGTGAACGCTGGTACACAGCAGGCCGAGAAGGGGGCAGTGAAAGCGGACGGTGCACGCCCGTCCTCAACAGCTGGTGTCGTACCAACCACCGAGAGCATGGAGAAGAACGCCGCGACTGCTCGCCAGCCCAACACGCCTGTGCTGAAGCATCCTGACATGGCCGAGAATCTAGAAGACGCGGCAGGAACTACTACGGGTAGACCGAAGCCCGCTAATCCTACTCAGCCTGAACTGAAGGATGAAGTAAATCCAACTGCTGCTAATGTGATCCCTTCCGCGCATTCCGCGATGCCCTCTCGTGCAGCGAATGCACCGAAGAGTGTCGCGCCACCGACGGTTCCTCCTAGCAGCAGCATGCGGGCAAGGGGTGTTCCACCGACGCCATCGCCAGCAACTCGACCAGCACAAATTGCGGCCGCGGAAAGAGCACAGTCGGATACGGGGGCCCAGACTTCAGATAATCCGTCGTCGTCCGGCTCCACCAGCGGAAGAAGGCCTTCCAATCATGTTGAACTCCTATCCTTCTTCATTATCTTGTTGTGGCCGAGTTTCGTAGTCGTGGCCGCCCGCATATGATAAAAAAATGAGAGTAGAAGCGGGCTCGTCACTCGTAGCAATAATGGGAGCGTTCGTTTAAGTCTTGGGCAGACATGGAAGGGTGGAATTTGGAGCGGAGTAGACAAGCGTACTGTCTCACGAGGAGCGAGTAGAAGAAGGTTCACCAAAGCCTTGAACAGATATAGACAAACGTGGTGAAGCTACTGGAGGGGAAAGTGAACGACAGCAGTGAGACCCGAAAAGAATGGTTTGTGAAAGGAAAAAATAAAAAGTAAATGCTCGATGAACATTAAACTATTGACATCTCTAGATGTAGAATGTGGCGTGGAGATCAATGCTGGTTAAGTAGCGTAAGTTCATGTGTAACGCCGTTTTCCGCTTGTCAACACATGATGTGGGACGTGCCAATTTGTCTGATTCTGTCAGGAAATTTTCTGGCCGTGAGGCAGCAATTCTAATAGATGGTGTAAGTCTGTTCTTGACAAGCAGTGAGAAACACTCCGGGAGGTTACTTAATCTTTTGTGTAGTCGGAATCTCTCTCTCTCTCTCTCTCTCTCTCTCTCTCTCTCTCTCTCTCTCTCTCTCTCTCTCTCTCG